TATGGGTCCTAGAAAGATCACTCCGGCCAGCATAAAAGCTGGTTTGGAATAAGAAAGAACTTGAAAGCAGCAAGGCTCTTCATGGGTCTACCGTGGACCAACTTCTACCTAGAATTGTTCAGTTAGGAGCTAGTGAAGGCCTAAAGACAGAGAAGAGGGAACTGAATGGGTGTTCACTGACAGGTTCCTTCAATGAACATTTCTGGAGTGCCTCCCTGGGGATAGAATAAGGTACAAGGGTTTTAAAAGGCAATGTCATGATTTCCTGGTTTCCAGTTTCATTTTGAAGGTGAAGGGTATAGAATTGTTTGGCATACTTAATAGGTATTCAGGTGTGTGTGTGTGTGTGTGTGTGTGTGAGAGAGAGAGAGACAGAGACAGAGACAGAGACAGAGAGAGACAGAGAGACAGAGAGAGACAGAGACAGAGAGCGAGAGAGGGATGGGTGGATGGGTGGGTGGGTAGTGCCCTGGGAAATGTAGAGGTTTGGACCAAGGATATTGAGTTCCATTTGAGGCAGAATGGGTTAAAGGTACTTTCAGAACATCCCCATGGAGAGCTCTAGTAGGCACCTGAAAATCTGGGTGTGGGCCCTGGACAATGGTGAATGCTGCAGTTATGTACTTGGGAGTTTTTGATGCATAATTGATAGTTGAAGTTATGGACTTCAGTACAATCGCCTAGAACTGTATAAAACATGAAGAAAAAGTAGGCAGAGCCCTGGGGACTACTGACAATGAAAGAACAGGTGGAAAAAAAGAAGCCAGGGTCGGGGACTGAGACACTGAGGGAAATGTAAGGGAGAAAGCAGACAAAGGCAGCATCTCAGAAACCAGGTAAAGAAATGGTTAGAAAATAAACACAAGCTTAAACATGTAATTGGTATTTAATAGTTTATTGCCTGGAAATGAAAAACGCGTAGCATATTACTTGTAAAATAAGTCTGAAGAAGACATTTTTTCCAGACGTGCACACGCTTTAATATATGAGTGTAGACTAGTCTAGCAAAATAACAACTGAGCTTACGATGTAAACAATATTGTTGTTGTTTTGTGGAACTACTCCTCTCTCCTCTCCAGGGATAAATGAATTCTCTCAAATTTCTGCTCATCAGTCAAAATTTTATATTCAATTGAGTGTTAATTCTGAGTTCAAAATGATTCGGTGACTGTGAATGCTTAGAAAGTTGTGCTTTGGTAAATTGAAAATAATTTTTCCAAAGTGATGGGCTAATTTGAAATCTATATTCTTTTTCTTGTTTTGATTTTTGCAGCCTAAATTGTAAGATGTATTCCTCTGACTGTACCAGAAAAAGTGTCCTCCTCCACTGGGGATATGGGGGGCTTCTAAAACCGTTCATTATGGGGCAGATGCTAGCACTCAGTAGGGCTCAGTGGATGCTTATTGAATGAATGGATGATGTCCTATTGTCCCTCCTAAATATTAATCCACATCTCAAAGGTGTCTGCATTCAACGAAATGAAAAAGAAAACATTTTGAAACTCATAACTGAGTAATTAAGGATTAAAACTACTGCTCGCTCTTTCTCTTTCTTGTGGGGACAGTATTGTGCACAGAAAGCTGCCCTCTGAAATCCCATTATAGCCGCTGACTCTGTAAAAGCTTCTTGGAGAAAATCTTTTCTAAAGAATAAGCAATAGAACGTGGCCTTCGAATTCCCAGAGACTTGTGTTTTTCAGATTATTCAATATCTAGGTTTAGTTTATTCTCTCGACAAATATTGATCGTCTACTCTGTGCTAGGCACTGAGAAAATGCAGTGAATAAAAAAGATCCCATTGTCATGGAGCATACATTCTAGCTGGAGGAGACGGGCCATAACAAACAAGGTTATGATGTGTGCCAGTGGTGATGAGGGCAAAGGACACAACTAGAGCAGGGAGAGTGGGTGGGGAGGGATGGGGAAGGGCGGCTGTTTTAGGTGCGGTGGGTACAGGAGGACAGGTAAACTGAGACACAAGCTCAATTGCAGTCACCTTACAGCTCACCTTAACCAACAAAGGGCCGGGGTGAGGGCAGCATGTGTTTTGTGAATGCAAACATCAACCCAACCACAACCCCTTAGTACTGTAAACATTATGATATATAATTTAGATTCTAAATAGCTGTTAAAAATCAACTCTTTGATTGTAATGGTAAGACAATGTTTGCAGGTGACTTTAAAATAAAATGACTTCCATTATTCAAGAGTCCAGAACGGCAATCAACTCTTAGAAAAGACTAGAATGACCTACTAGTGTTCCCTCTTTTTTTTTTATGGAGACTTCTGCTCCCCTGCTGAGACCATGTATTATATCTAGTTTCACATCAAAATGAATTTTTGCTGCTAAGTTTGAAAAACGCCTGAAAATAGCAGTTAATATTGGAAAAGCTGACAAAACTTTAAGTTTACTGGCATGATTGGTGCTGCTGTAATTATGTGCCTGAGTGTATACATGTCTGTGTAAACACAGTATGAAAACACACCTGATGTCCAGGACAGTGTATCAGTGTGTTTTCTTGCAGCTAAATGAGGGGAAGAGAGAAGGAGAGGGAGTTGATAGAATTTTTATAGCACTGTTAGGTGGTGTAGATGCTCCTAGTCTTTCTTACATCTATATAAACTTGTTTCTCAAATTATTTTCATGTTCAATACCTCGTTTTACCCTCACAACTTGCTCGGGCTCGGGGGTGGAAGGCAAGGGAGGCTTTGTTCTTCCCACTTCATGGGTGAGAAAACTCAGTGGGTCAGCTAAGACAACTTGAGTTTCTTATCTGAAAAAATGAGGAGATTGGACCCACGTCATCTCCAAGGTCCCTTCTAGTTCAGCAGTTCTATGACATTTTTTTTCTGATTTTCCTGAGGTGACACCATGTTTTATGGTGGAGATCTCCTTTAAGTCCAGACCCCTTCCTGCCACACGGTTCCTTCTTCAAACCCTTCACTGCATGTTTAATCATCTGTAAAATGTAATGTCTACCATACAGTGTTGTTGCGAAAACTGTTGAGGGGATTAAAGGGAAGGCTTTGTGAAGCACCTAGCAAAGTGGTAGCTTTTATTATTTATTATTGTCATCACTATTACTAATAAGAAGGCAATGTCGTGTAGTGGAAAGAGCATTGGCATTGGAGTCAGGTCAGTTTCCAGTCATTTACTGGTGTGTCATCTTGGCCAGTGATTCAACCTTTCTGAGCATTCTGTAAAGGGCAGCTGAGAATCTCTACCTTGTTGGGTTGTTTGAAGACTAAAGGAGAGGATGTATATAGAGCACTTATCCCAGTGTCTGCCACGTCCCAGATGCTCAATAGACAGTTGGCAGGTATGAATGGTAAACCAATTTTCAAAAGAAACTGGGATAGTAACTTCCCTGGTGGCACAGTGGTTAAGAATCTGCCTGCCAATGGAGGGGACACGGGTTCAAGCCCTGGTCCGGGAAGATCCCACATGCCGCAGAACAACTAAGCCCGTGTGCCACAACTACTGAGCCTGCACTCTAGAGCCCATGAGTCACAACTACTGAAGCCCGTGCGCCTAGAGCCCGTGCTCTGCAACAAGAGAAACCACCGCAATGATAAGCCCGTGCACTGCAATGAAGACCCAACACAACCATAAATAAATAAAATAAATACATTTATTAAAAAAAAAAAACGGGGATATATTTTCATGATTCCCTCAAAACCTGAAGTGATTTCATAGAGGTGAAGTATAACCCTGCAATTAACAGAAGCATACATTCATCTTTTAAACAAGTAAAAGGAAAAAGAAGATTCTGAAGTTTAGTCATTCTGTGCACATCTACAAGGGAGAATAAAAACTCACATGCACCTAGTAGTAAGCAAATGGTTGCTGTAGAGTTTCATGCTGTAGAGTTTCAAGAGAGTCTTCTGAAATCCAGTATATACTTTATTCGAGTCCTCCCACTCTCCCCACTACAACAATCTGATAAGGTTGTGCAGTTTATTTAGAAAAGCTCGATTGCCCTGATTTTACCACTTCCTTTGAAAAGTAATCACTTGAGGGGACTTCTCTGGTGGTGCAGTGGTTAAGAATCTGGCTGCCAATGCAGGGGACACGGGTTCGAGCCCTGGTCCGGGAAGATCCCACATGCCGCGGAGCAACTAAGCCCGTGTGCCACAACTACTGAGCCTGCACTCTAGAGCCCGTGAGCCACAACTACTGAGCCCGCGTGCCACAACTGCTGAAGACCATGTGCCTAGAGTGCATGCTTCGCAGTGAGAAACCCGCGCACCACAATGAGGAGTAGCCTCCGCTCGCTGCAACTAGAGAAGGCCCGCGTGCAGCAACGAAGACCCAAATGCAACCATGAATAAATAAATAAATTTATTTATTTTTTAAAAGTAATCACTTGAATAACTTTGAGGAACTGTTTTACCATAATGATGACCCTTATGAAGGATTCAATGAAGTTGGAAATCAAGATCCTGTAGCTCTGTCTCTGGCAGCATGGTCACAGAAAAGACTGGTGGCAGAACTGAAATGGATTGTGGTTACTTATCTCTGTGGAGGATTTCTTGGTACTGAATTTCCAGGACACAATAAACTAACATTTACAGGCATCTGTGGCCACATGCGCTGGAGCTGTGTTGCAGATGTGTTGGCAGTTGCTAAGGAGTCGCAAGGTGGGTGGCACTGCCCTGTACCCATTATTCTAAAATCTAGTTGATGGTTTAAACCAGTGGACCCAAGAGAGGTATGTATTGTACAGAAAACCAGTGTTGAGTTCCATATTGTTTATTACATGCATTGTTTGAAAATGATAAAACATAGCAACTCACCATTTAAATGACTTTTTTTTTCTTATTTGATGTATATCTGTCCTTGAAATTATTCTCACTGTGGATGCCCATGCTGTGTGGACGTCTAAAGACAAATGAGTTTTCTACCTGAGAGCAGTACAATTAAATGCTTTGACTAATGTCTGTTATGTTTGGTTGCCTTCCAGTTTTAAAATGTGTGAATTTCCTTTTTAACGTTCTAGGGGAAAGCAATGGTATTCGCCCCACGCCGAGGGAATACTTTAAACCAGTTTTGCAATCTAGCTGAAAAAGCTGGTTTCTCTATCCAAAGACATGAAAATTATGATGAACACATTTCAAACTTCCACTGCAAGGTTAGTTTTCTGCTTGTGTTAGATAACACTTTAATCCGCATTGCATTTTGAAGAGATCATGGTCTTTTGGGCAGGTAACCTAAATATTTGATTAAAGGACTCCTTAGGTGTGCTGCTTCTGAACAGCTATTTGTATCTGATTATTTTGTGTGGCAAAGCCATCTTTTATCTTTGCATGTCTAGAAGGATTGTACAGAAACCATTCCTGTTTACTCCTTTCTCTGAAACTAACTAATCTCTTCATTCATAATAGACTAATTTGTAGGATACAGGGGAGGTGGCATAGAATGAATGATAAACAAGCATTTATATTTTAATGAAAAACCTTCAGCTTTTAAGTAGGTTAAATGCTTAGCTGCACTGAAATAAATAGAAGGTGAATGTCTAATTGTATCATGTTAGACTGTAAATCTTTATCTCTGCTTGCTTTATGGCTGGGTCAGTTTGAGACTGTTAAATCTCACAGAATTTCACAGTTGTGGGGTTATATGTCAGATCGAGGCGCTACAAGATTTAGGTCAAAAGCACTTATCTGAGAGTGATTCTAAGCTTGCTTACATAAAGCAATGTTATCAGCCTTTTTATTATTTATAGGTATAGAGCAATATAGGACACTGAGAGGCCAGTGTTCCACCGAAAACTTTTTAGGAATCTCACGTTTGCTAATACATATCACAGTTACTAGAATAACATGTATTTCTTCTGTAATTTTGTGCGGTATTGAAAGCCCCCTTCTCTGAGCTAGTCTGACCTTGGCAACAGACTTTGACTTGTCAATTTTGCAAGTCGTGACCACAGAAAAGTAAAGCCTTGACCTTATTTTTCTCCTGGGAAAATGTGAATAGCATTCTTTATTACCCAGGACTATGATATAATGTAGAAGTGTGTTGACTTTTGAAAAATTATATGCAAAGTGGATCTGATCTTCTAAGCTATAAAAAAGGAAATCTTCACTTTCTGGAAATGGGTTCATTTCTTTGGGTCTCCAGGTTTCCATTTAAGCTCCTGGGGGGGAAAAAAATGATGCTTTGTGAACTGAAAGGGTTAAATCACTTCCTCTCACTGGTGGAATCGGGCCCTTTTGCTTACAATCAGAAAATAAAAAACAGAATGGCATGTTATTCAAATCTTACCTGCCTCTAGAATGATGATCTCCCTTTTTCAACTCCTCTCCAGAACAAAAGGAATGGCTTTGAGGGTTTTACCTGGTCAGGGAAGGGTCTCTCCTGGCCCCCTGGGCTCTTCTACACAAAGGGATGAAAACAGCCTTCTCTCCAGGGTGGGGCTAGAGCTACAAGGATCAGCTGACGGCTGCTTCATGTCATGTCATTCACTTTCCCCCTGAAGGACAAATGCTTTTAGTTTCTCAGTCATAGCTCAGGAGAGCAAAGGTGAGGGTTTCTCCGCCAGAAGAAAATGTCAGCATTGTGCCTGATACCCTCTGTCTCCTCCTTCAAGATCTGAAGTGTGTTGGGTCATGCCAGGCGTTCAAGTCCTTAGTAGCCACCTCTTCTTTGTCTAGGACTTTAGATTGTCAGCACCTAGTGGGCAGCAACCTCCTCTTTATTTCCGATGTTGTACACTACCCTGCTAAGCACGGCACGTTTTATAAATCACTAAACATGCCTCTTAGGTTTGTACTGTGCACCATACTCACAGTACCCTGTAAATAATCAGAGTCTGATTGATTGGTCGCACAAAAATAAATTTCCATAATAACGAAGTCGCCTTAGTGTTTATCTCATCATAATTGCTTCAAAGTTCAGTTCCCCACCTTGCTGACACTGGACTAAGGAATAGTTCCCCCTCCTCTTTTGGTTCTTGTTGTGACAGGTGAGAGTTGCATTTTGTTCTCAGGAAGTAGAACCCTAGGGGAATATTCTGCAGGCTTGGGGTGCCCTACCTAGATGGTATAAACGAGCACCCATGACGTATATTTTTCATGATGCGGCTAATTTCAGCTGGCTTGTTGTCCTCCTGCGTGTAGCCAAAGAATGCCTCTTGTCCCTTCTGTACCAGAAGCACAGAATGCCCGGCTTTTCTGCTCCAGCAGCGGGTTTAACCGTGTGCTGACTGGACGGAGAGGGGCCCCGAGGACCCAACTCTGGCTCGCACAGGGAGGTCTCCTTTGCAAGAGGACGATGCCCGGAGAGGATCTCTACCAGAGGCCGGACACAGAGCCGCGGGCCCGGCTGCAGAGAGTGGGGAGCGTCCCTGGTCCTCGCCGGGCCCTACTGCTCATCACGGGGGCGCGGGGACGGAGACCGAAGCCAGCACCGCGGTCCCCTCCGGCCCCTGCCCGCCTCCCGCCCGCGCGCCCGGGGCTCCGGGGATGCGCAGGGGCCGGCGCGGCTGCCGGGATCCTCTACCCTGGCCGCTTTTGTTTGCCGCGTGCTGAGAGCCAGGGCTTAAAAGTTTTCCATCTTGAGCGGCAATCAGCTTTCTTCCTCTCCATCCCTGGCCAAACCCCCATGGTCCCAGGGACGAGCCTGCTCCCAAATGGAGGAGCAACGTCTTCCTTCAGGCAGCGTGTTATCCTCTTAGCCCTACTGTGTTGGAATAGGGCGTAACCAGCTGGAGGACTGTAAGACGCCTGATAATGCCGCTCTTTTCCGCTGTCCCGTCTTAATCTTGTTACACAAATGGTTGTGAAGAGATTCATGAATTTTAATTTTGCCCTCTGCATTAGTGCCTCACGTCACTCATACACAGCTGCCTTCTATGCCGAGTTTTTCACCCCTCCTCTTACAACAGGGGAAAAACATTAGTTACAATCTTGGCAGTAGTGCAAGGTAAAAAAAAAAAAAAAAAAAAAAAAA